TAATGCCAGAATCGTTTTCCTCGTTTAAAAAAAACCAATGAGAACCAAGTTTCATCCCAATCCATCGACGAAAACGGGAATTTAGATTTCCGATATTTTGAAATTCGACCGGCGGCCAGTTTGTCGAAAATCAAGAGTTTGACTTGCGGTTTGTGCCAAAAATTTTCTTTTTTAATTATCTTTGAATTGATGTGTCACAAAGGAGATGTTGCCGTTTGAGAAAAAAAGTTGGGACCCGTAGCTCCTCCCCCTCGGGGGGGGGGGGCGGCAAAAAGTTTGGGGGCCCTGAAAGTAGCTTACATTGATCTTTGAACATTCCCGAAGTTTTGTTTCAAAATATTAATTACGTAAAATTTTAAAAGGGGTGGAAGGGACTTTTGGGACGCCTTGTATACTTGAAGATAGAATATAGTTGAGTTGAGTAGGAACAAAACGAACACATCAGATCGATGTATCGAAGGGTGGGATAACCCTACCTATCCTGTTTTATCCTTAACTTTACGGTTACACACTGATTATTCTCCTTTTCTCAAACTTCCTCCATTTAACTCAATTAATATCAATGTCGTTCCCCATCCCGTTTTATCCATGTCTATCATATTTTATATCGAACTATATATCGAAGATCGATAGACATTACCCTGTTTTATCACTATCTATCCTGTTCAATTCTTATCTACCCCGTTTCACACTGATTATTCCCCTTTTCTTAAAATTCCTACCTTTTATCCCGGTGAATATCAATAAATTCCGTCTTATCCCTGTCTATCCTGCTTTATATCGAACGATATATAGAAGATCTATTTACAATGAAATATTTTATCCCTACGAATGAAACCCCAAAATATGATAGTGGGGGTGCAAGGCATGCCATACGAAAAAAATTTAAATAAAATTAGTGGGGGGGGGGCTACGGGAGTTAGAAAAATGAGCTGGGAGCGGAGGGGTAGAATAAATACTGGCAAAAAAATTAAAACTAACCTGGCAATGATTTTAAAAAAGAAAAAAAAAAAAAAAAAAGTATAAAATTCGTTGACTTCATAGAGTACATAGAGTCGTAATGTTAATGGGAGAGCTGGCGCTATGTTCTGCTCGACGAATTCCGAGCCCGCTGTGCGCCGAGTTCGGGTCGCTTTTTCGATACATTTTCGATCCAAAATGGCGGTGAGGAATACGTGGTAATTCCTATCTCCTTTGTTATTGTTTTTGTTGTTGTTGTTGTTGTTGTTGTTGTTGTTGTTGTTGTTGTTGTTGTCATCGGATGGCCGGGTACCCGTGTATCGCAAACAATCGATTATGTATCGAAAAATTGACCCGGCGTCACACAGGAGTCTCGGAAATCGGGACATGGAAAATGCTTAAAAGTGGCGCCAGCTCTCCCACTTACATTACGACTCTATGTACTCTATGGTTGACTTGGCCGAGAAATGGAAATAAAACATCAGCTGATAGCAAACAAAGGTTACGAAGGAAACCAAGGAATGGAACTTTCATAAAAACAGTTTAGTGGAAAACAGCGTAAGTAGGCACTTACGTTAATGACCGTTTATAAGTAAACGGTAAATGCGATTTAACCGAAAATCTGTACAGTTTTTCATCAGATCAAAATGGACAAAATTACAAAATTTGAGACAGCTAACGTAAATCTAACGATAGTTATCGTGAACGAAAGAATTGCTGACATAGATCCGGTAACTATTATAGGTGGGATTCTAAAAAAAAACCTGGGTCCAATTTCCAAAATCTGATTAAAGCGCGCTCATCGAGGGCATATCACCTATCGATAACCACAAAAATCATGGAAATCAGATCGGTAGAAGGCTCAAACGAACTATGACAAAAAGCATAAATTTACATTGTTTAAATTGGAAAATTCGCAACTTTACTACGTAGTATAAAAAAAACCTGGATTATATTTTGAAAATCTAAATAAAGCAGGCTCATCTAGAGACAATTGCCCGTCGGCCTCAAAAAGCCGCAAAAATCATGAAAATCGGCCCGGTAGAACGCTGGAACTAAGCGTTACCAATTACGCAAAATTAGGAGGTCTCGGAGCTTTATAGCGTAGATTATGGGGATTTTTCTGCGCGTCTTAGAAGTGTATCTGACGAGAATTCATGTCAATAATGTTTGAAAAAAAAAAAAAAAAAAAAATTATTGCGACGATGAAGAAAATATAAGAAAAATACCTTAAAAACATAGGAACTTTATGTTCCATCACCTGAAACTCATATCTGGTGTACCAACGGATATTTCTTGCAATTTCTATCATAAAACTACGAATCTCAAAGAGATATTTGCTTTTCCTAATGTGTAGAAGTTAAAACAATGAAATGTAAGGCAAAAAGAAAAGCGTCACCAGAGCGGGAGGCTCAAAAAATCGCAAATTTCTTACGCAGATTGTGAAGTTATGAGTGCATTTCAGACTTTGCCGATGCGCTCATCGTGATTTTTGAGGCGTTATCTGTAGGAAACAACTCTTAGTTTTGCTCTAGCAAAAGTTTGCAGCAGGCCCATTCCTAAAAGTGCGTTCATTCATTTATTGAATATAACAATAACAAGCTGATTTTCGGTATAGCGAGGCTTATGACCCCCTGGAGTCCCTAAAAAAAGTCCTCATCGATAGCGTGGCAGCTTTGGGTGGGGCAGGGGGTGTAGGTGCCCCAAAATCGGTTTCGAGTCAGAGCTCGAGAACGGTTGCTCGTGTCACTGCGGATAGCACCATTTTCTAAATTCTCGTGAAATTTTGGAGCGATGTAACTCATTGTTAATTTTCCGCAACCCCGTGGCGCCCCCAAAAATTGGGAAAGCATAATTTTGAGGCATATTTTTGACGATTATTCTGCAGGGAAAGTTCGCTCAGGGCTGTTCAGCAACTAACGCTGCTTCACACGTCACTCTGAACTGTCGGTACGATTTATTGTCAACCCATGACTACCATTTGTGCGCCAAAGTCCGGGGGGGGGGGGGGAGGGATCCCAAACATCGTTATAAAAAGTTCTTATGAAGAGGGGGTGTTCTGACCACTGCGTCGGCGTCTCCAGTTGAACAATAGCTGAGGGTCGCCCGGCGCGGTCGGGACCCTCAGTCCCTCACGCCATTACTTACGCTTGATTAACCATTTCACCGTCACACTAGGATTCGTCCAATTTTCAAAAAAAATTGTTTCGCGTGTATTAAGCAATTTTTTCCTTACTCTCCGTTAAAACACGAATGAAAAGAGGCCTCATTCATAAAAATCGGCCGAATAGAAGAGAAGTTACAGTATTCGAGTTCCGAAGAAATTGACAAAACCTTGAATTCTCCATACAAAAAATAAAATGAAGGGGAAAAAAGAAATGTATAAATTACAATTAAATATAATTGACCTCAGAATTTGACAAGCAATTCAATTATATAACGGAGAAAAAATTGGGAGAAATTACAAAAAATTCGCCTCCTGCAAGGAACTTCCTTGTAAAAATGTTGACCTGAAGACAAGGGTCAAATAGCAGCAGTACTCCATACAATACACGGTGGTATGTGCCTGAACGAGTCATACATTATTTATAAGTCCAAATCGAAAATTCTCTATATTTTTTAACTACAGTGTCTTTTGAGTCATTTAAGCCAAAAAACAAAAACAAAACATTCCGTCGAGATTCTGGAACGTAAAGGCGCTTTAAAAGTATTCTGGGGCTATAAAAGCTGAATCAGCGGTAGTAAATCCCGTTATATTATTAAAAATAAATTGACTCCATAGTTTAATGCCTTTGTTTCTTAAATACGATTATTTTAAGCACTCAAACATTATTTTACACCACCAATTTTACCCATGGGGTGATTTCCTGAGAGCCGATAATACCACGAATTTCTCACAGAACCCTTCAAAAATGGCTTGCTTTTTGGGCAGCCGATTTGGCCATCGAACCCGGGTTTAAATGGAAGCTGATAATAACTCAAAGCTCTGGGAAAAATTTTAAGATGAGTATAGGAACGGTTTGTAAATAACGAGGAGAGGCGGGCAAAGCGGCTGAAATCCGATCTAATCTTTGCCGTTTTTCTGTTGAATTGGTGTTGCCACAGACTTCTGACTGTGTGCACACATGCTTTCTGTTCAGTATATCGATACATAAGTATTTTTACACGTAGAATCTAATTTTCACGTCAGAAAGTCGACGTATTTCGATTTTTTCGATTTTATACGGAAAATTCATGGTTTTTCAGGATTGAAATTACTTATGTTTGTTTCATGAAAAATAAATGCACCCAAAATGACTACGGCATATTGACTTTTACATATGTGCACTAAGGAAAATGATTGGTAAATTCAACGAGTGGGTACGTCGACCTGGTATATCAAGTTTCCGCAATTTTTTACAGCCAATCGGTAGATTTTCGGGATGTAGATTGCTTACTTTCAATTCATGAATGAATAAAGCATGGACATGGTTAAATTTATTTGCACGGAAAGACGTTTGAAAGAACAAAATCAAGACATATTTAATGCAATTGCATTTATATCGAGTCAATTTCTTTTCAATAATATAACGGGATTTATACTACCGGATATTTGGGTATTTTAGCTCCAAAATACCTTTAAATCGACTTTATCTTTCAGGAGTTCGACAGTTTTTTTTTCTTTCTTCGCTTAAATTATTCCGTAGCACTGTTCTTAAAGAATCTAATAAAATTTTGCATGAGGCAGATCAAAAAACTTAAACTCGTTCGAATGGCTTTCTACATTCACAATACACGGTCTCGTCAAGGTGCGTCGTTGACCTCGCAGTGTTTGATCGTGAATTCTCTTGTTAAGCTGCTTGCCTATTTTGAAATCTCTGTAAATGAAAACTAAAGGGGTTGATATGTGCGAGTTAATGACGCGCCTTATCAACACATTGTGTTGGAGTTCACTGCTTGTTTTCCCTTAACTTTCATATAATTCTTGGACTGGCTCCCTCTGGAATAATTCAAAGCTGGTGCTCTAGAGATCAGATAAAATCGATGATTTTGGATTTGAATTTTCCGAGATTCCTAAAGATAAATTTATTTTGACACGGGAAGCAATCGTTGGTGGGTTTTTTTTTTTTTTTTTTTTTTTTATTTTTTTTTAATGGACAAGTATCTTTGAGGTGTAATTGCAAAGCATGTAAAACACAATGTGGCACCAACAGATGTTCCTGTTTCAAAAACAAGAGACTTCACGCACCAATAACGTGTCACGATGAGTTTCTAAATGGTGAGTCAACTTTGTAACTTCTTTTTCTCATTTTTGCATAAATTTGTCTATTTCCCAGCGGAAAGAGTCGGATAAATGACTAGGTAGGCTACCTACTAAAAAAATCATCTTATTAATTGTCTTTTAGCTATTTGCACAGGCATTTTACTAAATGCCAGTTTTGACCATTGGCCTTCGACATATTATGCATTAGGTATATGCATAGATACACGTATATTCTTGTTGCTATACCTATACTTTGTCGTTTTCCTCAAGGACATAGGTATCCTCTTTTTTGATAAGAAGAGTTAACGATAGCGAAACAATGCTCAGACGCATCTCTTAAACTCATATAGGTTCTCTTAAAATGTTTTCTTTGAGGGCGTGGAGGTAAAGAGAGGTGAAAATATTTACATACTTAGATTTAGGCACAACAATCAAATTAACTCTGGTCGAATACAAGGTTCGTACCATGTGACCTCACAGAACTCCGCGGGATCAATTTGGGGATATCATTTTCTGAAAACAAAGAGAAAAGAAACACAAGCTTGTTAGAATAATAGGAGTAGGTAAGTAACTGATACCTAATCAAAATCGTTAGGTAACCGAAAGGTAGGAATGGAAAGGAGGAGGAATAAAAGGGAACAATGGAACAACAGTGCTAATGATTGGACGCTTCAGTAGAATAAAAGAGAAATAGGTAAAGGTACGAATTCCAAAAATGATGATTTTGCACATTAAATGTAAGAGAACATATGTATGTGAACATATGTATGTGAACATATGTATGTGAGGGGTATATTTTCAAAAAATTCAGGGATTGGAGTGAGCTTTCGGAGAAGAAAAGAACAAAACTAAAATGAAACAATCCAAGAATATGAGTTTTAATAACAAAAGTTTACATAGTATCATACATAGTTAACTCGGAGGCAGATCTAGGTTTTTGCCGCCTCCTCCTTCCCAAATATACGGTGTAATAACTTAGAGAAAATCTTTATCGTGGTGTTTCAGAGTTTCTGCTTCTATTTCATTTTTTCAAAAAGAAAGAAGAAAACATTCTAGCTTGAGATTCAGAATAATACAGAATATTCTGCTCACAACGTAAACATTTCAGGAGAGTTTTCAAGAAAATACGTTGACAACTTTTTCAAATAAGCAGGGTTATCCAAATGTCACCTACCACCCGTGTACCTTTTTTCCTAATTGAGAAAGAAGTTTGAAACTTTGGAAATGTTCCTTGGTTTAAGGTAGCAACTTTTTGGTCCCCCCAAAAATTTTGGGGGGGGGCGGCCCCCCCCCTAAGGGTGGCGGGGGCTAACTTTTTTTCAAATAGCGACCCCCCTTTTGTGATACCTCATTCAAAAGATAAAAAAAAAGAAAAATTTTAGCGCAATCCGCAGGTCAAAATGTTGATTTTTGACAAAATGGCGGCCGGTCAAAGTTCAAAATGGCGGAAATTTGGCATCTCCGTTTTTTATCGACGGATTGGTCTGAAACTTAGAATCCTGGGGTTTTTCGGGACGACAAAAATGATTCTGGCATTCGATTTCCAGAAATGTCAGTCCTTTTCAAAATGGCGGCGGTTAAAATGGCGGCTTAGAGCGGGAAGTGGATATTTAGGCTGCTTATCGTCGGATTTGTATGAGACTTGGTTTCCGGGGGTATTTTGGCACGAGAAGAACGAATCTTTCATTGAATTATCGAAATTTTAGAAAACTTTAAAATGGCGGCAAAATTGCAAATGGCGATGGTGGATGCGGATTTTCCGTTATTTTTCCGTCACCATTTTGACGATATACAGTGTTTCAAAAATCTGATGAAAGATTAATTATTTTCGAGCCAAAAACCACCAGAGTATTGACTTTTGTGCAAATCCATCGGTGAATAACCGTGATATGGATTTTCCTTCATTTTTTCGCCGCCATTTTAAACTTTTTATGAAATTCAAAAATCCAATGAAAGATTCATTCTTCTCGTGCCGAAATACCCCCGGATACCAAGTCTCATACAAATCCGACGATAAGCAGCCTAAATATCCACTTCCCACTCTATGCCGCCATTTTAATCTGCCGCCATTTTGAAAAGGACTGACATTTCTGGAAAACTAATGCCAGAATCGTTTTTCTCGTCCCGAAAAACCCTAGGATTCTGCAATTCACACCAATCCGCCGATGAAAAACGGAGTTGCCAAATTTCCGCCATTTTGAACTTTGACCGGCCGCCATTTTGTCAAAAATCAACATTTCGACCTGCGGTTTGCGCTAAAAAATTTTCTTTTTTTATTATCTTTCGAATGAGGTATCACAAAAGGGGGTTGCCATTTGAAAAAAAAAAAGTTAGCCCCCGCCCCCCAAAATTTTGTGGGACCAAAAAGTTGCTACTTTAGACCGAGGAACATTGCCAAAGTTTCAAACTTCTATCTCAATTAGGAAAAAAGTTACAGGGGTGGTAGGTGACTTTTGGATACCCCTGTATATAAAGTACCTCAGGAAGTCGGCAATGTTGGAAACGGAGATTCGTGGTCTCACATTTGGTCATCGATACTCATGTTTTCCGAAATTTGCCGCCCCCAAAAGTTTGCTGTCCATTGCCATGGCACCGTTGGCCCTCCCCTAAATCCGACTCTGGTTTAACTTCTTTACATGTAAAATGGGAAAATAACATTAAAAATAAAATTTTAATAGAATATTAGAACGCTCTACGTCTAAAGACAGAGTTGAGAGAAACAGCAAAATAGCCAATATGTGTACGAAAAAACCTCCACATAATCTCATGCTCCTTTGTCACTTTCTGTACATATAAGTACTTCAGTTGGTCCAGGAAATATGACTCTACTGAAACGCAACGTTTAATCAATCTTCCCGGAAAAGTTGGAGCTTAAGGAATCGCTTTGCGGTGGTGCCAAATTATGTAGTAAATCCACCACGTGGCGCTGCTAAAATCAGGCTCCAAAATCAGTGATTATTCAAATATCCCAATAGATATATTGAATTCTAAGACTCATAAGTCCTAGTAGCATACGTCTAAAATGCTTAAAAACAAACGCCAGCTTTGAAAGTTTAATAATAAAGGCTATAACTTGATCCTAGGTTCTCTTATGGGATATCTGTAACTGCGAGAGAGATAGCTTACGGTATGGGAGAGAGATATCAGCAACTGCTGAGAGTGATCACCCGCGATTGGTTGCATCAAGGTCATCATGCTTAACCCTACTTTTTTCTGGGATCAAGTTTCAGAGATTCAGATACCTATTACTTTTCACGTCTTTTTTAGTCAAAATCAGCGAACATTGTAATGCAATGTTTGAAGGTAGTAGCACTAAATATATTGGATTTTTGGATTGTAGCCGAGTGCTAGAAATAATGCAAAAAATGTTTTCAAAAAACACTTACATTTTATTAATAAATTTATACCAAGGCTTTTCGAAGCGAACGCTTCATCGTCAGGGTCACAAAATCAATATCAGGCCATAATTTAAATTTCAAACAAGGTAACATATTTCATTGATGGTAACAATTGATAATAAGCTATTAGATCAGATCAGTCTTAATAATCAAAACAATGTCAGTGTGTGTTTAGTACCTGTTTCTCATCAGAGATGGCAGTACATTTTAGGTACAGGGGATTAGTTGCCAGATCTACCTCTTTTTGTAGATTTAATAATTCTTCCCCTCTTTTTACTGCCTTAGTTATTTCATATTTTTCTAGGACGCTAAGCATTTTTCTGTCCCTGTTTTTGGGTAGAATTTTAATTTCTTTTATCTGATGATTTTCTGTTTTTATGTGCTTAAATATGTTCGAGGATGGAAGTGTCATGTGTTCATTAACTCTACAGTTGATTGAGCGTTCAGTTTTTCCGATATATATTTTCCTGCATGAATTACAATCTAAACGGTAAACGCCAGTTACATTCTTACTATTACCAATATTGCCTTCACCTTTTTTTATTTTGTCGGTGACCTTCCTTATATTGTCTAGTACGCTGTTATTAGTCTTAAAAGCTGTTCTGTACTCATTTTCTTTGAAACAACTGCTAATTTTTGAGCTAACAGGGACAAAATAAATCAATTTTTACATATTTGTCATTATTATTGGGTTTTTTAGCCTCGTTGCTGTTAGCATTAGAGTGCTGTTTTTTATGTCTCCTTAAAATTTTGTTGACAATATATTTAGGGAATCCATTAATTTTAGCAATATTCTGGATAATTCCGATTTCCTCTTGTCTATGTTTGTGGCTAAGTGGAATGGAAAACACTCTATGTGCCATTGTATGAATTGCAGCGTGTTTATGGCTGTTAGGGTTATTAGAATGGAAGGGAATTATACTATTAGTGGCTGTAGGCTTACGAAATATTTTGAATTGGATGAGGTTATCCTTGTCGACAATTACAGTAAGATCTAAGAAATTAATTTGGTTATTACTCATATGTTCTATGGTGGATTGAATGTGTTTTGAGAGGCTATTTAGGTATTTTAAGAGTTGATTTATGATACGATAAAAATGGGTACCCTATTCGACTTTTAGTAAACACAATAAATTCACCTGCCTATAAACTATCAAAACATCTGAGCAAAATGATAACAAATATATTAGACTTAGATAATATAGTTATAGTGTTAAAAATAGTGCACATTTTGCAAAAAAGATGCATAAATTCAAAGTCGAAAAAGGGCAGAAAATGTTTTCATTGGACATAGTGAATCTATATGCTAAAATTCCCACTGATGAAGCTATTCAAATTTTAGACCAAAAAAGTCAAGAATCTGGAAAAATCAATGATCATGAAAGGGAAGAACTTGTTGGGATGACAAGAGAAATCCTTAATCAAAACTATTTCACTTATAAGGGTAGAACATTCCAAGCAGAAAATGGTGTTACCATGGGCCTACAAATTTCTGGTACTATTGCACAAGTGTTCTTAAATAATTTTGAAGAAATGATTATTATGAATGACAAAAATCGTTTCTTTAAAAACATCAAAAAATATTACAGATATGTTGATGATACCTTTTTTGTTTTTGTTGGGACTGACCGTATCATAAATCAATTCTTAAAATACCTAAATAGCCTCTCAAAACACATTCAATCCACCATAGAACATATGAGTAATAACCAAATTAATTTCTTAGATCTTACTGTAATTGTCGACAAGGATAACCTCATCCAATTCAAAATATTTCGTAAGCCTACAGCCACTAATAGTATAATTCCCTTCCATTCTAATAACCCTAACAGCCATAAACACGCTGCAATTCATACAATGGCACATAGAGTGTTTTCCATTCCACTTAGCCACAAACATAGACAAGAGGAAATCGGAATTATCCAGAATATTGCTAAAATTAATGGATTCCCTAAATATATTGTCAACAAAATTTTAAGGAGACATAAAAAACAGCACTCTAATGCTAACAGCAACGAGGCTAAAAAACCCAATAATAATGACAAATATGTAAAAATTGATTTATTTTGTCCCTGTTAGCTCAAAAATTAGCAGTTGTTTCAAAGAAAATGAGTA